TCGATTAAACTTGATAAACATTTCAAATTTGGGGCCTGCGCCGATCGAATTTCCGCTATTCGATCGGCGCGACTTACGCGGGTGATAGAGACGCGAGTGCTACGTTTTTAAGCAAGCGTCAAGCTTATATATTTGCGCGTTAGCGCTTTTCCCCTCGTTGGAGCCGAAGGCCGCACCTGTGACACCACTGGATGGTAGGCAACCTGAGACACTGAAGTGCGTATGCACAGTATAGATCAAATTCGTTGCACGAAGACTAAAGCTGGAAGTACATTAACAGCCGTCGCTGGTAAAACCATTTCCCAGAAAACTGGCGGGCCAATCGGGACGAAACTTGGCATGTAGCGGGAGGTAGTTACCAAACAACACAGAAAATTTTTGGGAGCGATCGGGCCAAAGGAAGTGGGCCAAAACGGATTTTAGGGTCCAAGGCTGCTGATTGGTCAATCGGCTGTCCATCAAGTCACGCAAGAGTGAGTTTGGGGTTTAGAGGCCGTTTAGCTCTGTTTCCGGGGTCAGAAAGCGTTTGCCCGAGTATTGGGAATTTTTCCAAGTATAATTGGGGTGGGGGCAGTGCCACCACCCCCCAGTGGTGAGAAAACGTGTGGAAAGCCACGCCCACTTAGGTAATATGGTTTTTGGGCGATAGGAGCACTTGGAATCGGTTTTCGGGCAAAGTGATGCCTAAATATCAAAGGGACTAATTAATAGAATATATACCACCCGAACTTTGGGGATTCCCCTTCCCGTAACGGTCCAGTGAGTTCGGAATGTTGCGCTTAAGATTTGAGATATTGAGAAAAAAATACATAGGTAGGTTGAGAAAATTTAGTTTAATACTTTTTTAAGAAAATTTTTTTGCTCCCATGCTCCGTCACGGTCTAGTGATTTTGGCCTTTTGCCGGCTTCAGAAGGTCTTATCAAGAATCTAAAGGCATGGGCATGATCAGAAAATTATTCCAATCACGTATCAGCGGAAATTTTTTTCTAGTAGCCTTCAGTCACGGTCCAGTGATTTTCTGCCATATCTCGAGAACGGTAATAGATGGGGTCTCATATTTGGGGTACAAGGTAGTTGGAGTGAAGTTTATGCCTAAAAAATTTCGTCACGGTCGAGTGATCACGGACCTTAAATTGATAAAAATCGACATCCATCAAGAGCGATCAGTTTATGACGTGTTATTTAAATACTTAATGAACTAAAGTGGCTGGGGGCTACGCGCCGGACGAATTTCCGCCATTCGTCCGGCGCAACGACCCTGGTGCATCCAACAAACTCATAATGAAACATCCGCTCTTTATACTCAAATCTCTTTCTTACATTTCCCCTCGCGGGTAGCGAGCGACCGACCCTGGATGGTCAGGCAACCTGAGAGCACTGAAGTGCGTATGCACAGTATGGATCAGAATTCGTTGCACGAAAGACTAAGCTGGATACATTAACAGCCGCCGCTGGTAAAACATTTCCCAGAAAACTGGCGGGCCAATCGGGCGAAACTTGGCATGTAGCGGGGTGTTACCAAACAAACACAGAAAATTTTTGGGAGCGATCGGGCCAAAGGAAGTGGGCCAAAACGGGATTTTAGGGGCCAAGGCTGCTGATTGGTCAATCGCTGTCCATCAAGTCACGCAAGAGTGATTTTGGGGTTTAGAGGCCGTTTAGCTCCGTTTCCGGGCCAGAAAGCGTTTGCCCGAGTATTGGGAATTTTCCAAGTTAATTGGGGGTGGGGGCAGTGCCACCACCCCCCCAGTGGTGAGAAAACGTGTGGAAAGCCACGCCCACTTAGGTAATATGGTTTTTGGGCTATTAGGAGCACTTGGAATCGGTTTTTGGGCAAAGTGATGCCTAAATATCAAAGGGACTAATTAATAGAATATATTACCACCCGAACTTTGGGGATTCCCCTTCCCCGTAACGGTCCAGTGAGTTCGGAATGTTGCGCTTAAGATTTAGATATTTAGAAAAAAAAATACATAGGTAGGTTGAGAAAATTTAGTTTAATACTTTTTTAAGAAATTTTTTTGCTCCTGCCTCCGTCACGGTCTAGTGATTTTGGCCTTTTGCCGGCTTCTGGAGGTCTTATCAATAATCTAAAGGCATGGGCATGATCAGAAAAATTATTCCAATCACGTATCAGCGAATTTTTTTTCTAGTAGCCTTCAGTCACGGTCCAGTGATTTTCTGCCATATCTCGAGAACGGTAATAGATGGGGGTCTCATATTTGGGTGTACAAGGTAGTTGGAGTGAAGTTTATGCCTAAAAAATTTCGTCACGGTCGAGTGATCACGGACCTTAAAATTGATAAAAATCGACATCCATCAAGAGGATCAGTTTATGACGTGTTATTTAAACTACTTAATGAACTAAAGTGGCTGGGGGCTACGCGCCGGACGAATTTCCGCCATTCGTCCGGCGCAACGACCCTGGTGCATCCAACAAACTCATAATGAACATCGCTCTTTATACTCAAATCTCTTTCTTACATTTCCCCTCGCGGGTAGCGAAGCGACCGACCCTGGATGGTCAGGCAACCTGAGAGCACTGAAAGTGCGTATGCACAGTATGGATCAGAATTCGTTGCACGAAAGACTAAAGCTGGAAGTACATTAACAGCCGCCGCTGGTAAACACCATTTCCCAGAAAACTGGCGGGCCAATCGGGCCGAAACTTGGCATGTAGCGGGAGGTAGTTACCAAACGAACACAGAAAATTTTTGGGAGCGATCGGGCCAAAGGAAGTGGGCCAAAACGGGATTTTAGGGGCCCAAGGCTGCTGATTGGTCAATCGGCTGTCCATCAAGTCACGCAAGAGTGAGTTTGGGGTTTAGAGGCCGTTTAGCTGTTTCCGGGGTCCAAAAGCGTTTGCCCGAGTATTGGGAATTTTTCCAAGTATAATTGGGGGTGGGGGCAGTGCCACCACCCCCCCAGTGGTGAGAAAACGTGTGGAAAGCCACGCCCACTTAGGTAATATGGTTTTTGGGCTATTAGGAGCACTTGGAATTGGTTTTTGGGCAAAGTGATGCTTAAATCTCAAAGGGACTAATATATAGAATATTTACACCACCTTAATCTTGGGACTTCCGCCTCCCAAATCCCCTCGCATGGGCGTAAGAAGGTTGGCGCAAAAAAAATGAAGCTATCGAGAAATAAAATAGATAGGTATTTGGGAAATTTAGTTTAATGCTTTTTTTCAAGAAATTTTTTTTCTCATCACTCCCCGGTCATGGTCTAGTGATTTTGGCTTATTCAGGGCCCTCTGAAAGGACTATTAAGAAAGTAAAGGCATGGCATGTTTTAGAAAAATTATTTGAATCTAATTTTGAAAGAAATTTTATTTCCTCATCTTCTCAGTCCACGCTCCAGTATTTTACGTTATATCTCGAGAAGGTGGGAAGGTAGGGTGCCATATTTGGTAATACAAGTAGTTTGAGGTTAGTTTGTATGTCAAAAAATTCGTCACGGTTGAGTGATCACGGACCTTAAATTGAAAAATTCGACTCCGATTAGGGGTGACAGTTTATTACAAGCATTTGAACTTCTTATAGCTAGAGGGTCGGGGGCACAGCGCCGGACGAATTTCCGCCATTCGTCCGGCGCAACGACCCGGGTCCTCCAACAAACTTCAAACAAACATCTGCTTCTTAATTTACTAAAAATATTTCTATACATTTCCCCTCGCGGGTAGCGTAGCGACCTCCCCTGGATGGTAGGCAACCTGAGAGCACTGAAAGTGCGTATGCACAGTATGATCAGAATTCGTTGCACGAAAGACTAAACTGGAAGTACATTAACAGCCGCCGCTGGTAAACACATTTCCCAGAAAACTGGCGGGCCAATCGGGCGAAACTTGGCATGTAGCGGGGTAGTTACCAAACGAACACAGAAAATTTTTGGGAGCGATCGGGCCAAAGGAAGTGGGCCAAAACGGGATTTTAGGGCCCAAGGCTGCTGATTGGTCAATCGGCTGTCATCAAGTCACGCAAGAGTGAGTTTTGGGGTTTAGAGGCCGTTTAGCTCCGTTTCCGGGGCCAGAAAGCGTTTGCCCGAGTATTGGGAATTTTTCCCAAGTATAATTGGGGGTGGGGGCAGTGCCACCACCCCCCGTGGTGAGAAAACGTGTGGAAAGCACGCCCATTAGGTAATATGGTTTTTGGCTATTAGGAGCACTTGGAATTGGTTTTGGGGAAAGTGATGCCTAAATATCAAAGGGACTAATTAATAGAATTAATTACCACCCGAACTTTGGGGATTCCCCTTCCCGTAACGTCCAGTGAGTTCGGAAATGTTGCGCTTAAGATTTGAGATATTTAAAAAAAAATACATAGGAGGTTGAGAAAATTTAGTTTAATACTTTTTAGGAAAATTTTTTTGTTCCCATGCCTCCGTCACGGTCTAGTGACTTTGGCCTTTTGCCGGCTTTCTGGGAGGTCTTATCATATCTAAAGGCATGGGCATGATCAGAAAAATTTATTCCAATCAAGTATCAGCGGAATTTTTTTTCTAGTAGCCTTCAGTCACGGTCCAGTGATTTTCTGCCATATCTCGAGAACGGTAATAGATGGGGGTCTCATATTTGGGGTGTACAAGGTAGTTGGAGTGAAGTTTATGCCTAAAAAATTTCGTCACGGTCGAGTGATCACGGACCTTAAAATTGATAAAAATCGACATCCATCGAGAGCGATCAGTTTATGACGTGTTATTTAAACTACTTAATGAACTAAAGTGGCTGGGGGCTACGCGCCGGACGAATTTCCGCCATTCGTCCGGCGCAACGACCCTGGTGCATCCAACAAACTCATAATGGAACATCCGCTCTTTCATACTCAAATCTCTTTCTTACATTTCCCCTCGCGGGTA